ATATATTGCAATTTCTGGTCACTGCTTCGTACTTTTCACCAATTTAACATTGCAAGAAGAATGGACCTACTCTTTAGCCTGGACTCCCGGGGAAATTTTAAAATCATATGGCCTCCATCTCTCTTGTTACCCTCTTGCCCCAGCCTTTCAGGGCAGTCCTTCCTCCAGTGTGCCTGATTTCCTGCAAATTCATGGATTTTGCACACATAGCCCCATGGAATGCCCGTGCAGCCTGCACTGCACTGGCCTGCCTGCACTTTTTTGAAACTACCACATTAAATGTACATCCTTAGATTTTCAACTTTCCTCAAGTTGGTGTCTGTGTGGAATAATGTAAAGAGAGAGGGACAGTTGCTGTCTCCCAGTCTTACTACAGGAGCTGTGGGTTAGCTCTTGTCCTGGCTTTGCTTCTTTTCCTTTTCTGAGGTTTCTCCCTTTCTGATAACTTGGCTCCACCTTGCACTAAGTCACACTGTGTCCCTCCTCATTGGGACAATGTATTCTAAATACTTGGCTTCCCTTGGATAGCATTGAGACAAGGTGTCTTGCACTTCAGATCAATTTTCATAAAGAACTGGGAAAATAATGTGCAGCTTATTCTCACTGCTTGCCAAGAAGTTGATAAGACTTTCAAAATTGCTTTTAAAATACTTCAGATATCCACAAACATAGGCCTAGGTCTAAATCTAGTCATGGTATCTCTTCTCATAAACCAATCTAACGAGTTTTAGCAAAAAGACTTAAGCCCTCTAATCTGTAAAAATAATAATAAGATAATCTCCCTGACTCATGAGGATGTTATAAAAGTTAATTCAACTTTGGATATCTTTGGAGATAATGACACTGTTTTGTATTTACACAACTTCTCTCCCAACAGACCTCTATTTTTTTTTCATTATTTTTCTCTTTCCTTTCTTTTTTCTTCCTTCTCATTTAATAAATCTTGCAGCAGCTCTAAAAGATAGGTAGGGGGCAGTTTTTGCCTGCATCTTACAGAATCAAAAGACACGTATCCAAGGTCACAGAGATAGAGACACAGGAAGAATAGAATTTTGTTATCCCTTTCCTGTTTATTTAGTGCTATTCTGACTCCAATTTTTACAAACATGAATCAGAACCCAACATTATTTTGATTTGACAATCATGTACTTTGTACACAATCATTTCAGGTTTCAAATCATGGTTTGTAATGTTTAAAAAATGCATAAAATAATATCACACAGTTTGTGAGCTCAAACATGCATATATTTTCTAATTTAAAAACTTACAGTTTATGTGACAGAGACAAAAATGTGTACGACAACCAAGAAATTTGTTCAGAGGTGGTATTATTAGGCCC